CTAACATCAATGCCTTTCCAGCTTTCCTCTAGTACCTGAAGAAATTCTATAGTGGGAGAAAGAATATCTAGAAAATGACTAGAGAAATGCTATAACTAATATTTATGAAATATTGGTGACCATAACGCATATCACAAACTCTAAAGGCACATGAAAAAGTCTTGGAGGTAGGAATTATAATTATGTTAACTGCCAACAAACATTATTCAATTATTGTTTCCTTGGTGGAAATCTCTAGAGAGACAGCAAAAGATATTTTAGAATGTGAGCTGCCATTTGTCAACAACTCACGGGAACTGTTTCCTTGTAAGAAAATATATATTTCTTTTATAACATATCCAATTAATTATTATCCATAATATTTTATATAAATACGCAAAAAAATATATATTATATAAATACACAGAGAGCAATTTTTTTTTAATTAACACCGATCATTCACTCTAAAATCCGACTAATTTCAGAGTGAACATGTTCACTAGCTAGCACATATCCAGTACACATCGATACACACAAGTCTACAAAATCTAACAACATCAAATTGTTTATAAGAGAAATGAAATTTAATGGAAACCGAGTTTACGCTTTGTTCCAAGTTAGATTATCACTAAACCCGTCACTATAGTGTTATTTTTCTAACTTGTATATGTAATACATTATGTATACAAGATATAATATTACACGTTATCTACTACATATACAAGTTATAAGTTATAACATGTTGTTATTACATTTTATTGTTGAAATAATATGAATATTATCTGAAAACGATATAAGTTTTGACCCAAATAAGTAAAGAAATGTCCTTAGAGTTAGTGGGATAATAATAAAAATAGCACAATAGCCTGAGTGGTGTGACTCATTACTATGGAAGCCTTAAAAAGATATCACGAGAAACCGACATTTTAATTGTAACCCTAAAAATGGATTCTCACATGTCTAAAAAGAAAGACTCTTGGTCTCACGAGTAATCACTAACTTCCTCTCCTTTTCACTTATATAATTTTTATATAATAAACTAGATTCTCATCACATAATAATATTAATACGTGTCTAATACGTGTGTGTAGTCGTGTGAGTGCTATATATAAAGTCTTACAACGAGTGAGAAACATAAGAGAAAGTGTTCAAACAAGTATTTCATGATGAAGAAAATGAAAGGTGAGTTTCTTCTTACATTGGCTCTTATTTCTCTCCTCTTGGCCTTCTCGTTTGTCCATGGAGGAGGAGAGACAGAAACACCAGCTCATACAGCGGCTAGCCCGAAAAGTCCGACCGGAAAATCAAGCGCTTCAAGCGGTGCAAGTGGTTCAGCTCATGGACCTAACTGGGGATATGAATGGGGATGGGGTTCAACTCCAGAAGGTGGTTATGGTTATGGTTCTGGTTCCGGTTCCTCACCAGATGGAGGAGGAAAAGGGGCTGGATTCGGGTTTGGTTCGGGTTCTGGTTCGGGAACTGGATTTGGGTTTGGCTCGGGAGGAGGAGGAGCTACTGGAGGTGGTTCTGGTCATGGAAGTGGAAGCGGTCACGCAAGCGAAAGCGGCGGTTCGGGAGTTGGAAACGGTGGAGGATCTCCAGGTCGTAGAGAGAGGAGCCAACATCGTTAAGAAGAAGCTTTTCTTGTTGTTGCTACCTTATAACACAAGCATACATACATAATGAGACAAGAAGAAAAGAAAAATATATGGAATATTACTATGGTAGCTACTAGCTAGGCACCATATAATATAAACATAATAAATATAGTAGCAGCTTAATTAATGCATGAATAAGAACCAAAAGAATAAGTAGTTGGAGGTTTACCACTGTACTTTGTATGATAACTTAACTTATGTTATTTGTGTTCTTGAGCCAAAACTAGTAAATTAATATGTATTCATTACCAAAAGATGATCATAAGTTTATAACGATTCTTCTTCACGTGTTTTCTTATTATAAAAGATAAACTACTTGCTTGGTCACGGGGTAATCTGGTTAATTCACACAATTTTATCTCAAGATGAGAATATATACTTGTTACTAATGTATGTTTTAATAAGGATTTTTGTTTGTTTTCATGCCTACATTTTGTAAAACAAAATTTTTTTTTCCATTTTTAATTTTTAGAGAGTTTATTGTAGGATTGGCCCGAATCATTGTTTAATCAAACCATAAAGATCTAAACTTATTTAGACCAGCCCACATTAATCTATGTTTTAATGGACCGGACAAGTTTAATAGTGACCAATAATACGATTACTGTTATATATAAGCAGCGCAATTGAATTGAAGACCAATCGTAATCACTAATGTTTATTCTCAAACCGAATCGAGCTGGGCCCATATAGTTATAATAAATTCTGAGCCCAATAGTTGAAACAAGTAGCCATATTTTCTCAAATAGTTTTAAATTTAGAAGGCTAGACTTCTCACTCATTTGAAGGAAAGATCCAAGAAGAATCTAGTTGGAACTTGGGAGCAAGCAAAAAATCAAAAGAGAGATCCCATGACAAAGCTAACTTGTAGTTACTCTCATTTAGGTGTTATTTGATGTCTCTCTTAGTCTTTTAGTTCATTGGGTTTTGAATTTGTTTGTGTGTCTGTTTTCTTTTGGTTATCGAGTGTTTATATTAATATTCTTCAAACATATTGTACATGCCAACTACCGAAAGGAAAGAAGCCAGAACCAAAAGTCCAGACGAGAGAAACACGGCGAAAAAAGAACTTACAATCATAATACATCCTCAACGAAAAATTCAAAAGCCAAAACTACAGTTATCTATTATCCTGATAAAAAAAAAATAGGCTTCTCATTTTCTTGAACAAACTTTATGTGGGTTAGAAATGTTTTAAGTGAATAGATGAAATTTGGGTAATGTTATAGAGAGAATATGTAAGATCCTATGTCAAGCAAATGGACTAGTATAACTAGGCACATATTCACTAGCTAGGCTGGGGAGAAAATAAATGGTCTCGTTTTAAAAGGACATTTTTTTTTGAAAAAAAACGAATAAATTATATATAGATGCTTGTTGAACAATGGGGTTTCAAGGATTTGTAGTTGGAGCCAAACAAAAGAAGGATTAGTAGTTGGAGAAATGAAAAAGAATCTTTGCTTTTGTCTGCAAAAATTTGTGGAAGAAACAGACAAAACACTAGCTTTTTAGTAATTGCGTATTTACTGTTGTGAATTGATTTTGTGGCATAAATAGTTCTTTTTTATTTTTGAAGTTACAATCATCATATGAAATTTGTATTGGCTAAAGTAAACATAATTTTCTGATAAATAATTATCAAAAGTAACTGAACTAACAACATGTAGTTAATTACATATATCTACTAAGTTCACGTAACTTGTCAAGCCATGCAAACATTAACGTTCCATATTCAATAAAAACTTGTTGATCGGTTGATCAATGCATAATTCATATGAGGTGTAAATTTCATGAGTAGTCCATAATTTAGACCATGAAATTAACAAAATTACTACGCAGTTAATCATTTCTTCTGAACTCTTGTAATTTTACTTATTCCCTAAAATTATCAAATTCTTAAGGTTTTGGAGGTTGAAGACAGAAGATGGAAACAGCAATGACGGATGCGATTGAGCACTTTGGTCCCCTTTAAGAGATATACACCAATTTTCATCCACATGGCATGATCCTATATGTATTTATCTATGGAAGTTATAAAATATTAGCACTTACTCAAAAACCACAAATTTTAGTGACAATTCTAATCTATCACAATGTAAAATCATGAACCGGATATATATCACTAAATCAATATAACAATGAAAAATTTTCCATACCGAAAATGAAAATTGTAATGCCATACCAAAAAAAATGTGATAATGAGATCACGATTTTGAATTTATCCAACCATCTTAATTTCAGGAATTTGACACAGTAACACCATTTAACATTCACATTAGCTCCCATTATGTTTTCTAAGAACCAAATCAATCACATCTTCAATTGGTATAACTTATGAAAAACACAAAAATTCATGCGCATGATAGTCTTATCAAGTATTGCATTTGCACATAATAAAATTAATCATTAGTGCTTAGAAAGTAAATCTTAACCCTAGTATATTTTTTTTCCATCTGAATATTATATTAATCACCGTAGAAAACTGAGTTGAAATACGTTTTTGAAATACAAGGATGGAATACGAAGATGAAATACGATGGAGGATCTATACCGAGATCCTCAGACGAAGAAACGAATTCTAAAAACATAAAACCCAAGTATAGCTAGGGAAACAACAAACTAAAGCCCCGAATAATAATTCAAACTAACCAACTCGAATACCAACAGAGCCGAGAGTCTTCCTTCCAAAGAACCCCATCAACTTAGAACCACTGCTTCGAATCACAACGTCGATAAAGGTGAGAAAGAGCTGTCCGTACACTCGAGACAAAAGCACCAAATCTCGAGTCCAAACTAGAACCAACTAAGAGTGACAACAGCCAAAGTTTAACCAGGAAGAAGAGCTCATCCACGAGTCAGAGTAGAACCCAACCATATCCCAAGATTCTTCATATCTTAACCCTAGTATATATGTAGATACATTTTGCTTAATATTAATTTTCATACAATTTAAATTTGTCTATAAGAAATTATAATAAGTATCTAAAAAACAATTCTCATTCTACTCGTGCGAAGAGAATCGGATAATGAGTTCATATTTGGACACCACTAGCCAACAATGTGGAACAATAAAGGAAAGTTTAAATTGCCTCATTGAAAAGTAAGTGTTTCGAATATATGGCCACACATTTTGTTTTTGTTTTTATAAGAAAAAATAACACATAAAAGGCTTAATCAATTGGTTTATGATTTGCAACTACACCCCCATAACTTCTCTTCACCACTTTGAGATACAATTGGGTGAGTTAACTTGGGTCCCCATTGGTCCTCGATCCATTAATGGAACATTTATATTCTCTCTCTCTATTTGTATGTAGTCTATATCAAAGTACAAATTCTTATACTTTGTGTATGTAAAAGATATAATCCACTGCATAATCAGGATTGTTAATGATTGATACCACTTCTTCTAGTCTTAAGAATGTTTATATATTGGCAATTTACCGACAAAATGTTTATATATTGGTTATTTAATTAGTTAAATCAAACCAATTTTTATAGATATCAAAACAATGCAATTCTTTTAATGCATAATGTTGTTATATTGTGTAAGGCACTTCTAGTCGTAAGAATGTATATATATTGACAATTTACCGACAAAATGTTTATATATTGGCTATGTAATTAGTTAAATCAAAAACAAATTATATTAATCAAAACACTGCACTTCTTCTAATTAATGCACAATGTTGTTATATTGTGTAACGGATAAACAATAATTCTTAACGTGATTATCAAATGTTGATACGAGTGGTAAAGTGGTGTGGTTTACAATTTTTTTGTGCTATGTTTTAAAAATTGGTAGGTACCAATCGGACGTTTGGATTTTTTCTACCGCTAGACTATTTAAGCTCTATATATGTATACATAATATTTTTAATAATAAAAAAAATAAACGGATGTCTATACCGATTAATTGATTACGGATGGGTTTTGGCAAATACTAAGGATTTTTTAAGGTGAGAGATTTCTCAAATCTCATATCCCTACTTCTCTCGAAATTTAGGGATATGCTCTTTGATTTTTTGGTCTTCCATTTGGCAAATGGTAGATTTGACCAAATCCAAAATCTCCACTTCTCATACATCTCACGTTAGAGTCACATGAAACTCGGGGGCAATAAAAGGCCATCATCATGAGAAAA